CTCCCTCTTCCTCTTCCTCTTCTCTTCCTCCTCCTCTTCTCTTTCTCCTCTCTTCTCCTCCTCCTCCTTCTTTCTCCTTTCCCTTCACCTTTTCTTTTCCCTTTTCTTTCTTTTTATTCTTTTTTATCTTGATTTCCTTTCATTATCTTTAAGTACTTGTACAAAGGAGTTCTCATTTAACAAAGCAGTTTATGAATACAATATATCTTGATCACTGTCACCCCATCCGCATTCTCTCCCATCCTTCCACTACCCATCTCTTCACTCATTCGTCTTTATTTTGTACAATATGCATTGAATTCTTTACATTCTCCCCCTTTTAGTGGAGATTTCTCTTTTTTTGGTGGTACTAGGGTTTGAACTTAAGGTCTCATTCTTGCTAGGCAGGCACTCTACCACTTGAACCACAGCCATAACCCCCCAAGTCTTTAGTTCTGTATATTTTTGTGGATTCCTAAGATACTGGGCTTTACTGTTTGCATCTGACAAGGTAGTTAGTAAATCAACAGTCTAGTCCTGGGGTGGAAAACAGTGCTTTGTGCATAGGCCCATAAACTTCTCCCTACCCTTTTCTAGTTGACCGAACTGAGCTTCAGCAGTTTTAGCATGCAGGGGAAAAGGGCTGAGGATGATTACCATGAGCAACTCCAAGTGTGCTTCAGAACTGTGATGTTGGAGGTGCTGGGATGTACTTCTGAACAGAGGGAACAGAGCCCTCTTCTGGTGCCCTGGGCAGAGCTGGCATCTTCAAGCAATCCAAAATGGTCTGTGTCTCTAGTGTACAAGTAAGGGTTTCCTGTGAAACTTGCAGGCAGGAAGCTGAGTGAAGCAGGAAGCTGACATTTGAGTGTGAAGCACATCTGGGTGTAGCTTAGAGAACAGCTTCTCCCATTTGAGGACTATATTTTATTAAGTTGGACTCTCTTCCTTTTTTGTTTCAATACCCTTGAGTTTTATAGGAATTAAAGTTACCTATTTTAGCTGCCTGGATGTACACTCATTCTTGTTCTTCTCTGCTTTTTTCCTCCATGTTGTTAGATTTAGAGGTAGTAAATGTCTCAGTGCAAGATAGACTTCCAAGAGTGCCACCTTCCTTTTTTCCTCCTAAGACCAGGGCTTGAACATGCTGTCTGATGCTCACTTTTGCTCATTAGCTTGTACTTTACCAGATGAGCTATGCCTCCAACCCAACCACTTTGGTTTTTCATGGAAACAAGCTAGTCTAGCTTCTTCCACATAGTCTGTGATCCAGAGTGTCTTCATGAAGTATCTACAAAAGCCAGGTTGGTTGGGCTCCTCTGGCTTATGCCTATAAGTCTAGCCACTGAGGAGGCAAACATCGGAGGTTCTATGTTTGAAGCTAGCCAAATCCAAGAGACTCTTATCTCCAGTTAACCAGTAAAATGCCAGAAGTTCAGGCATTGCCCAAGTAGTAGAGTACCAGCTTTGACTGAAAATGCCAAGCAAGAGCACAAGTTTCTTGAGTTCAAGCCCTGGTACTAGGGGCTTGAACAGGTCACTGTTGCTTATTAAATAGGTGATTAAAACAGAATTGGTATTATTTTTTCTTTGTAGTGCTAGGGATTGAACACAAGTCTTCATGAATGCTAGGTAACCATTTTACTACTGAGCCATACTCCTAAGTACAAGTGAGAGGGCTTTTTTATGGTACTGGGGTTTGAACTCAGGGTCTTGAGCCACACCTCTCTTTTTTTTCCCTTTAGTTATATTTCCAATAGAACCTGGACCATCCTACTCATACCTACAGCCTCCTGCTGTAGCTGGGATCATAGGTGTGTACCAAGGTACTAGTCTTGTTTGTTGAGATAGGATCTTACTAACATTTTGCTCAGACTGGTGTTGAATGGCTGTCACCCAATATCTACCTCCCAAGTAGCTGGGATTAGAAACATGAGCCCCAGGAACCAGTTTGTTTTGTTTTTTAACTTCTGCTCTCTTTGTGACCCTGAGCCAGTTTTTTAGAACATATATTTCAGGGTTAGAGTCATGATCACTGAGGTCCCTTTCAATTCTGACAGTTTGCAATTCTGAATTATTTATTGTTTTGAAGAATAGAGATGAGATGTTCAGAAAGGAGAAGCCAGATGTGATTCTTAGATGAAATAATGAGGAAATGTGAACAGGGTGAATGGCCATCCTAAGGGTATTGTGGGGCAGTCCATGTTGCTGAGAACCAGTGCTGAGCTAGGGCGAGGCCATGATTATTCCTACTTTGAACTGAAGCTATTTTTTGTTTTTTGTTTTTGTTTCTTTTGGTACCAGTCCTGGGGCTTGAACACTGGGCCTGGTCACTGCCCCTGAGCTTTTTTGCTCAAGGCTAGCACTGAGTAGGTAGAATTACAGGTGTGAGCCACTAGTGTCCCGCAGTTGAGCTGTTTTTCATAGTGAGATTCTTAAGTATAGAAGGACACTAGGGAGCTAGTTTCCTTCCTTGCTTTTATATGTGAAAAGAAATAAGGGGATTCTATTCAGGACCGTGGTTGAGCAAAAAGAAGGTCATGCATTTAAGGCTGGACTGATGAAGTTATAGCTTGCTAAGGCGCCAGAACTTTGTGATTTTTTTTCCAGCTTTGGCTTCTGCCCTGAGTTGTTCTTCTACATTTGAGGTTAGTGCTCCAGATGTGGTCATTGGAAGAGCAATACTGAGTTTTCTAGTATGCTGTAGCCTCTCAGTTGAAATGCTTCTTGGGACCTTTTGGAGTATGGAGCTGAGCCCAAGTAAATGAAAGGAGACCTTGTTTCCACCATTTTCTGGTGTACTAAGGGTGAGTGAAGAACCAGTGATGACCCATTAAGGTGTAGGTATGGGTAGGATGGGTGTGGCTTTCCTTTCTAGAAATTGTAGGGGATCCAGGCACTAATTGCTCATGTCTGTTCCTAGCTATTCAGAAGCCTGAAATCTGAGGAGTATGGTTCAAAGCCAGCCTAAGCAGAAAAGTCTGTGAGACTCTTACCTAATTAACCAGCAAAGAGCTGGAAGCTCAGCTGTGGCTCAAGTGGTAGAGTGTCAGCATTGAGTGAAAAAGCTAAGGGACAGTGCCAGGTCCTAAACTCACACTCTACTACTGGCACAGAGTAGGGAGAGGGGGGAGAGGCAGAAGGAGAGGTGGAAGGAGGAGGAGGGGAGAGAGGAAGAAGAGGAGGAGGGGGAGGGGGAAGGGGAGGAGGGGGAGGAGGAAGGGGAAGAGGACAAGGGGGAGGAGGAAGAGGATGGGGGGAGGAGGAGAAGGAGGAGGAGGAGGAGAAAAGTACAGGCATAGGAAAGGTTAACTCTAGGCAGGTTGCAGGTCTTACTAGCTGTGTTAAAGATCTAGCAGTTGGCAGGAAGAAGTCAGAACAGATTCTGTACCAGGTACCATTTCCACGTCAACAAGAAAGAGGCTGACTTGTTATGAAGTGAAAGGGGTGGAGCAGGAGGAGCTGCAAGGAGAGAACAGCTCTTAGGCCAGAGATGCAAAGCAACCCTTGTTTTTCCTCTTATGGAAAACATCTGCTTGAAGCAGTGCTCTCATCCCCAGATGCAAGGCAGCTGAGGCCCTGCCTTGCCCTGCCCTACCCTCGTCCTAGCCGTGATAGCAGGAAATGGTGGGTGCTACTGCCTAAATAGTAGGGATTGGGTTCCAGGCTGATGAAAGTGGTTTTGGGAACCCTGGCGAGTAGTCTCAGTTCTAATGTTGCCCTAGTAAGGCTTGGTCTTCCTTTGGATGCTTTCCCATAATTGTAATTGCCATCTTCACAGTAGCAGCCCCACTGCAAGCCCAGAGGGGATGGGCATTCCCCCCTCCTCCCTGCAGAACAGGAGACAGCAGGTGGGAGGTGAGGTCACTGAACCCGGATGACTCACAAGTTCTGTCTGCCCCAGTGAGGGGAAAGGGGGCCTTCCCAAGCAGTGCTTCCAGATGTACCCAGGCTTCCTATGCCACAATGTTGGGCCTTGGCCAAAACAGTTGGCAAGGTAGTGTCTGAAGGCTGAAATCAGCAGCATGACTGGAGAGGTGGGTGGAGTTGTGGAAGGAGTTCCTGGAATGTCCAGAAGACCCGCCTCCACCACTTGTTGGCTGAGTAAATGTGGCTTCAGAGATGTTAAACTGTGGGTGATGGGCCTGGCATATAGTTGGCATTCAGTATGAGTTCAGTTCAATTCCATCCTTCTGTTACCTGCCTCTGTGTCCTTAAATTTGTTCCTCTATTGGGTGGGGGACAGTAATACTCCATCTTCTCCATCTTGAAAGTCCATGCTTTGAACAAGTTATCTTGGGATTAGTTTCCTTCCTCTTTGCTGGCCTCCCTCCTCCTCTGCTTTCTTCCTCCTTCCCTCCCTCCCTCTCACAGACCTGTCCCTCTCACTCCCCTCCCTTCCATCTCTCTCCCCTTTTCCTTCCTTCTCTCCCTCCCTCCAATCTAACCCTCTCTTTTGGAAAGAGCCATGTTATATAATTTAGTGGCACAAGGCAGATAAGGCAAACCAACCCAGATTCCCCTGCTGTGCCAGGCTACTGCTTACCAGACTGCTATTGGCTCTAGGAAAATGAAGGTCCCTTCTTTGAAGCTAGCTCAGACCCAGAGACTAAAGCACTTCAGCTGCTGCTGCCTTGTTTTTATTTCTCAGGCTAGCCAGCTAGACGTATAGCAGTGATCCTAGTTGGTTGAGCCTTTGGATGGTAGACCACCAAAATGATTTGTAAGTATTCAGAGAAGGGCTTGATGTGGGAAGTGTCTGTATTCTTGTTATCAATAAGTATCAGTGGGTTTATTGCTTTTGGATTAGAGGTGGGAGGGCTAGTACATGTGAGAGTATGATACTCCCTCCTCCAAAATCATCATACCCAAATGTTTTTCTTTTGTTTTTTAAACCTTTCATATCCTTTATAGACAACCTTTGACTTTAGGCAATGACTTCATAAATCCCAAACTACAACTTAGGAAGAGATTTTAGCCATGTAAATATCCTTTGCCGGGAACTGCATCTTGAACTGGCCACCTTGCCCAAAACTGCTCCTCTACTTCTGTCAAGCTACTTGGAAAATTTCTGTTGAATTCACAGGATTCATTTTCAGATTTTTTGCCTCCCAAACTAGACTACTATCTTGGCAGTGAGTGAGTAGAGGCAACACCTAAAAGGAAAGCAGTGGGCCTGCGTGACACTGTGTTTGTGCCCACAGCTCATCTTCGACATTTGAATCCCAAATCATCTGGAACTAGACATGGAACTTGGAACAGGATTCCTCATTGACTTTTAGGCCCCAGTTATGTTCTCACCCTTTCTCCTCCCCTCAAATGTGACACACAGAGAAAACAGGAGAGCACAGACCTATGGCATTGGACTTATGACTCACATTTTCTTCTGAGTTAAGTGGTGGTGAGAATGGAAGTTCCTTTTTGTTTTTCTTTTCATTCTTTTAAACCTGTCTCCACGATGAAATTCAGGAAACTTTAGACTGCTGTTATCCCTAGAGAAATAGCCACACTGGAATGACAGGAACCATAAGTAGAGATTTAGGAAAAATAGGTTCAGCTAAGACACCTTCAGATATTAGGAGAGCCTTTGTTCTAAGTGGATGCTCCTCCTATGAGGCAGAGAACATGGCTGATCCTGGTATATATTCCATGCATATTCTACTATCCAGAATGGCCCTTCTTTACCAAATTATTTACTTTGGAAATATCTCCTATTGTATGTGTATGTGTTGTTTCTGGGGCTTGAACTCCAGCTTGGCTTTTTCACACAAGGCTGAAGCTGTATCACTTGAGCTATACCTCTGCTTTAGCTGTTTGCTAGTTAACTGGAGATAAGTGTCTCATGCTGGCTTCGGACTATGATGTTCAGTTCTCAGCCTCCTAAGTAACTAGGATTACAGGCGTGAGCCACTAGAGCCTGGCATAGAAACATTCCTTTAACACACATTCCTTTAATAAGCATTCCTATGGGCCAGCACTTGACTCCACCATTGGCCACTGCCCTGAAGATATGCTATATTGACAGGACTTCAGTTTCTGACACAATCTACAAGAGATGCTAGCATTGGTGAATTAGAGGTTATAGTGTCTCTTGAGTTCCTCCCATTTCCTCAGTTTCCTTCCCATTCATTTTCTTCTAAAAAGCCCAGTTCTACTTGTCCACCACCCTGCTTAGAAACTTTAGGCTAGCTGGCCATTGCCAGCAGGATTTAGACCCAGTTTTTTTTTAAAAAAAACTTTTATTATTATTATTATTATCTTTAAGTAGTTGTTCAAAGAAGTTCCCATTCTACAAAACAGTATATGAATGCAAGGTATCTGACAACATTGTCACCCATCCCTCCTAACCCATCCCTTCTCCCACTTTTTTTTAAAATTGAGATTAGGTGATTACATAAATTTCACATATTTCATAGTATTGTAGAATAGTGATACTTAGTTAAAGTCACAAACACATTTTAACCTTCACAAAGCAGATTATCATTATCATGGTCTATAAATTTTGTGAATTCTATGAGCTTTGACAATACAAATTATTTCTTCCACCTCAGGTGATGATTACATTTCTTTCCTTTTGCTTATGTAGGCTGTTCCTCTTTCCCTCTTATTCCTCCCTTCCCATTGATGGTTTTGGGTGGCTTAGTTCTTTTTCTTCTATGTCCAGTGCAACTGATGGGCCCCTTTGTTGTATGTTGTTCCGTTTCCCACTTATTCTGTTCCTCCTCCTGGCTTCCCTCCATTGCATGCATATGTATGTCTACTTTATATATTAGACCCAGTTTTTTTTAAAGCACAGCCTTGAAAGCCTTCCACCTACTCTCCTGTTTTTCCTTCTGCACTTCAGGGTCCTCTTTAACCTTGCTTCTAAATAGGTCATTTGTATCACTGCTTCCTTTTCTAGGCTGTCACATACATTGGATTCTCTATTTGGGGCATCTGCTCTTCCTCAGTCACCCACAGTCACCCTTTCCTAAGATCCATCTTACTCTGATAGATAGTGAAATACCATGCAGAGCTGTGATTCCTAATTTCCACAAAAAGGTTTCTTGCTTTTGCTGTAGCATTTTTCAGGGTCCTTTTGTTATTTAGTAAGTGCCTTGAGGTCAAAGAATGTTTCCACAGCTCTACTCTAACCATAGTTCCTTAAGCATTATATTCCATCAACATTAAATGAGTTTGAATAAATGTAACCTGAAATCCTTGAAACTCCTGGCGAACAATGGATAGAATTTGAAAGGGGAAAGATCTATGAACTTGCATGGAAAAAATTATATATATATATATATATGGCTGATATCTATATATGTGGGCTTAGCATACATGATTCAGCCAGCTGGATTGAAAAATATTTTGGGGAAAATGATATCTGTACTGAACATGTACAGACTTTTTTTGCTAAGAGCTATTGCATTAGTATTTTAATTGTATTGGAGTCTTTTTGTGGTGTTGGGGATCAAACCTATGGCTGTGTATATGTTAAGCCAGCAATGTACTATTGAGCTATATCCCCAGCCCTTGTATCTCTGTCCTTTTTGTTTTCTGTTGCTTGGTACCTGCTCATATATCCAGAATTTTCTGATACTGATTGTTGGATACTTGAGAGAGAGGTAGGTGTGTGTGTATGCATATGTGTGTGTGTGTGTGTGTGTGTGTGTGTGTGTATGAGAGAGAGAGAGAGAGAGTGAGTGAGTGAGAGACTGAGAGGATGTCAGTTCTGAGGCTTGCTGGCCTCTACCACTTTAGCCACAGCTCTACTTCTGGCTTATTTTGGTGATTAATTTGAGATAAGTGTCTCATGGACTTTTCCTGCCTGGGATCACTTTGAACCTTGATATTCCTATCTCAGCCTCCTGAGTACCTAGGATTACAGGTGTAAGCCACTGGCACCCAGCTTAGAGACCTACTTCTAAGACACAAACCTTAGGCAAAAGTAAGCCAAGGTACTAGAAAGCCCCATTGTCCCCATCCTGTTCCCTTTGCCATTGGTGCTTTGAGTTCACCTGTTTTACCTTAAGGGTGAGTTGAAGCTGAGTATAGCATTGTGGCTTTCCTAAGTTCTAGTCTTCTGAGCCCCAATACCATACTTTATGATATCCCATTTCGACAAGGGTCACTGGATGGGCAGGAAGCCTAGAGTAACACCAAGTCAAGGTAGCTAACCTTGCCTTATTCCCGTGGGGCATTTGCCTTACTTGTTCTTGCTTTCAGGGCTTTTCCTGTCCTATTGTCAATCCTGAAATAGATTTCCTCCCTGGATCCCTGGTGAGATTTATTTACAAAACTGTTCCCGGGTCTGGTGTTCATTAGGATTGTTTAGCTGGAAAAATGGCTCTATGGCCCCTTCTTCTCTGCTACCTGACCCCTGTGCTTAGGAAAGGCCCAGAGGTTCAAACACTGATAAGGACTGATGTTTTGCCCATTTCCTGGGTATTCACATCTTTGATAATTCTACATTTTGGTAGATAGCTGCAGTACTAAGTATGTCACCATTCTAAAAGACACAGGTTAGATTTATTTATTTAAATTTAAAGGTCACTATTCAGAAGCCAAGCCTGAGTTATACTTGAGCATTATTCCAATCATCTCTTTATGGATATATTTTACAAAGTTGAACTCATATACTATACTATAAGAAATCTTGCTGTTTCTCCTTAATATTATTCAGGTATTTTCTTTGAGCATGCAGTATTCTTCATCATAAATATTTTATATGACTGTATTGTATGCTGTCTTGTTATTGTTTTGTATAGATGAGTGAAGTGAAATTACCTGGTCATTAAAATTTAGTGTTGCTTTTTAAAGGGGAATGGGAAGGCATGCTGGTACTGGAGCTTGAACTTAGGGCATCAAGCTCCAGCTTAGTTTTTTCACTCAAGGCTGACATTCTACTACTTGAGCCACCACCCCACTTCTGGCTTTTTTTTTCTGGTTAATCAGTTAAGAATCTCTCAGATTTTTTTAATCAGGGTAGCTTTGAACCCCAGATATCAGCCTCTGAGGAGCTAGGATTCAACGTGTAGTCAACCAGTGCACAATTTGTTTTCTTGTATTGGAACACTTTTGTACCATGTATGAGGAAATTTAAGTATTGGTTTGAATAATGAAGTTTGGACCTAGACCTGGACTCAGACCCTTACTTATTGGCAGTATGACTTTAGGGAAGTCTTTATTTCTATCTCCATTTCTATTACAAAGGTAATACTTTCTAGTCTACATGGTGCTGAATGGTGTTAGAAAGGTTATTACTGCATACGAAGTATCTTGACAGAAGTAAGTCTAGATACCCAAAAGCTACTGTTTGTTGTCACTTTATTGTTATGGCCATCACTGCCAAGGTTTTGGCCAAAGGAAAACACTTATAATAATGAAATTTCTGCTATCACTGACCTTGGTTAGGAAATCTATGGTAAGGTGGTAGCTATGCTTTCTAGTGCCCCAAGATATATGAGTGGCTTCTTTAAAAAAATTTTTTTTATTGTGAAAATACTGTACAGAGGGGTTACAGTTACATGAGTAAGGTTATGAGTACATTTCTTATCAAGCATTGTTGCCTCCTCCTTTGTTTTTCCCCTAACATCCCTTCCCTCCCACCTCTACAATGAGTGGCTTCTTGTTAATTTCAGTCTAGATCTGTTTCTGACCCTTTGTCCCTCTACCAACGTGACCTTGGTAGCACCTCTATGTTGTCCACAAGCAATTCTACTGAGGCCCTCCTTCCTCTCTTAGGAAGGCCTCTCCCAGGAAGGCCAATGAGACACAAATACAGGAAATGTTAACAATGCAAAGCAATATATTAGAACCATAGACATCATCACCAGAATGGTCCTTAGACATCATCTCTTAACGAACTGCCCCCTCACAATTTTTCCCAGATGAGGGAAACTAAGGCTCAGGAAAGGTATACAAATTAGTGAAGGTTATAGCTTAAAACACAAGTGCTAGGCTTGGCACCCAGTAGATTTTGTGTATGTGTGCATCAGAGTTTGGTACTGGGGCTTGAACTCAGAGCCTGGGTGTTGTCCTTTAGGTTTTTCACTCATGGACGGCATTCTTACATTTGAGCCACAGCTCCATTTTTGCCTTTTTAGTGATTAACTGGATCTAAGAGTTCCATAGACTTCCCTGCCTGGGCTGGTTTTGAACCATGGTCCTCAAAACTCAGCTTACTCAGTAGCTAGGATTACAGACATAAACCAGCAGTCCCCATCTTGAGTTTGTTTTTTTTTTTTTTTGTCGGTCATGGAGCTTGAACTCTGGGCCTGGGCGCTGTCCCTCAGCTCTTCAGCTCAAGGCGAGCACTCTACCCTGAGCTACAGTGCCACTTCTGGTTTTCTGGTGGTTGATTGGAGATAAGAGTCTCATGGCCTTTCCTGCCCCGGCTGGCTTTGAACCGCAATCCTCAGATCTCAGCCTCCTGAGTAGCTAGGATTGCAGGCGTGAGCCACCAGTGGCCGGCTTGAGTTTTTTTTTTTAATCCTGCCCTTAACCTTTCCCTGCAATTATCTTCTAGTGATATATACATATATATATATATATATATATATATATATATAATCTACACTCTAGCTCAGAGATAAAAATATTGTGGGGAGTGAAAACGTCTAGTTTGTGGGAGTGAGGAGGACTTCTGGGAAGCACTATAGGCAACACTTTCTTCCTTTTGGTAGTAGAATGATTTGCATTCTTGTTTGTGCCTTGATAAGCATTGTTCTGTAGGAAACAGGGACTGGGTGATGACTTGTTTGTACAAATGTCCCTCTTTTCTTCCTACCAATCTCCTAAGTTGCTCAGTTTCTTAGCATCCATGTTCCTCCTCTGTAGTTGAACAGAGATATCAGAGACATTTGTCCCAGCCTTTATTGAGCACAGAGCCAGACAACTAATGCACCTTGTTTGATCTCATCCTAGATCAGCGTGCGTGTGACCACCATGGATGCAGAACTGGAGTTTGCCATCCAGCCCAACACCACTGGCAAGCAGCTGTTTGACCAGGTAAGGGAGCTCTCATCACAAGGTTGACATCCATTCATGACTTCTTGTTAGAGCATTTAATTTCCTGCTTGATCCTTTAAGGAAGGTCAAAATCAAGATGAACTCTAGCCTTAATGAAAAAGGAGTCAAAGTTTAACTTTGGTATCCTGTACCCATGACCCTAATCTATCCTTGTTCTTTAACAAAGGAAATAAAGGGGAGTATGATTCTGTGCCAGGTTCTCTGAAAACATGAGTACATGAAACTTTCCTTTCACTTCTGAAAGATATGTAATATCTGCTTACTTATCTATTCACTCATCTGTTTATGAATTGATTGATTCATTAGTGACTTTAAATTTATAATCATCTCTAAAATGCTGGGCATTACTGGCATGAACTACCATACCCAGTTCTTCTTTCTCCATTTTAATGATGACATTCAGAATCTAATTGCTCCTAGCTGCTGTCTAGCTGTGATTTGAACCTGAGGCTGCTCCCACAAAACCACAGACCTTTTGTGATTTTTTTTGGCTTCCTGCTCGAAAGGAAACATTGTATATACATTTCTTTTGACAGAACATTGGCAATATGCTTGTGGAAATAGGTTAGGGAAGGAATCAGAGAGAGACAGGGTGAATCTGATCAAGGTGTACCATATGCATATATGGACTTATATAACTGATGCTAGTAAAAATGTGAGAAAGCCAGGTTCTGATGACTCACACATGTAATCCTAGCTACTCAGGAGGCTGAGATCTGAGGATCACAGTTTGAAGCCAGCCTGGACAGGAAGGTCTGGGAAACTAACCAGAAATGGAGCTGTGGCTCAAGTAGTAGAGCATTAGCCTTGAGCAAAAAAGCTCAAGGAATAGTGCTCAGGCCTTGAGTTCAAGCCTTTGGTCTGGCTCCAAAAAAGTGGGAAAAATGAAGGATTGTTGGGACTTTGGGTCTCACTAGAGAAGATGTATGGAAAGCAGTACTTAATCTCCTCTAGGTGTTCCATGGAAATGGAAATAGTACTTACTCACCATAAGTTTAGTGGTCATTCATATATCTAACTCAAAAGGTATTCTTTCAACTCTGTTGTCAGAAAGGATGTGCTGCATACTATAATAAGCAGGTAAGGACTATAGAATCTTTTGGCTCTTAAAAAACTTTTCAGGGTCCCAGGAAATATGCCATCTGTAACTATCTTTCCAGAAGCAGAAAATAGGACTCCTGTTTCCAGAGGCTGGGGCCCTCATTCCAAGGGCCATTTTATTTCCCAACCAGCCTCTGGTTGGTGATTTGACTTATCCAGGATGTTCTGGTTACTTATAACCTTGACAGATTTTTCAAGCTCTCTCACTTTCCTTTCTCTTTGTTCTCTGAGTCTCTCCAACTTCCCTAAGGTTTGTGAAAGAAAAGAAGAAAGAAAGAGGTTGTATTCAAATGGGATCTTTCTTTTCCTGTGAATACTCTATCTGGTGAGAGGAAAGACAAGGGAAGAGAATGGAGGTGAGAAGGACAGGATAAGTTTTCCCAGGGCTCACTTATGCTGATTATTGTGACAAGAATTTGGCTGTCATAATGCCCTCTGAAGTAGAGTATGGCTCAAGTAGTATCCTTGAGCAAAAGAAGCTCAGGGACAGTGCCCAGGCCCCGAGTTCAGCCCTAGGACCAGCACACACAGGAAAAATTTTGTGAGGCTCTATCTCTAACAAACAAAATGTTGGACTGGAGGCATTGCTCAAATGGTATAGTACCATAGCTGTGAGCAAGGAAACATGAAAACCCTGAGTTCAAGATTCAGCACACAAAATCCCACAAAAGAATGTTAGATTATTTGTTTCCTCTTCCCTCAAAACAGGTTACATTGGCATTATAAGGTTGCATGAAATCTAGAAGGTAAATTAGAAATAGTTAAGAAAGGCAATAAAAAATATAAACCGGGAAGAAAGTGTTGTGTAAAGCATCCAGGATACAGTAGAGATATAGTAAATGAGAGTTCCTGTTTCGATAGAATGATACTTCTTATCTCATTCATGAACTACAGCTTACGATCTTCATTCAGACTGTCTTGTTTGGGTTTAGCTGGAACTTCTTGGAGTTTAAGGTTTTTGTTTTGAATGGTGTAGAAAATCAGTGATACTTAAAAATTGTGAAAATACAAATTAGAGGAATTTTTAAACATATTACAGTTAGTAATGTGCAGTGCTTACAGTGCTAGACTAAATGTATCTTGGTTATATTAAGCTTTGCATTCTCCCTTTGCATTCAGGCTTTTATATTATAGAGCCTTTAAAGGGACAGCCCAGTGAAGTGGAAAGGACGACACTGGGCAGAAAGTCAGGAATCCTAGCTCTGTCACTAACTCCCTACATTACTTTATTTAAACCTCCTCTTCTGACCTTCCTCAATTTTGTCATCAGTATAGTATCTAATCTCTCACATTTGGATATATCTCAAAATTTTTTTCTCTGACACTTTTCTCCCATTTCTATTCCCACTTTTTGGATTTCATACAGCTCTCTTCTGTAAAAAAAAAAAAAAGGGAAATGTCTCATTTGAGTTGGCATGTGTAGGAGGGGACAGGCAGCTGGCAGAGGGACTTCCCTTCCTGGATATGCTCCTAGATGTCTCTGAGACATATGATACTTAAGCTAATGGTGGACCCTTATTTTGGCAATAGTATCACTTCGTTTAGAGGCTTTAGAGGCTAGGATATCTACCAGGATGGATTTGTGGTCCAGCTGGGAGCCTGAAGAGACTTCATCCCCTTCCTACACTCCTTCCCAAAGCCCTGATTCTACTCCCGCCTCCTCCCCTTCCCAACCCAAATGACGCTATCCTTGCTCTCAACACTGTGAGCTTTGTCTGTGAGCATTGGAGGGGGATGGCTGCTGAGGGGTAAGGAAGGCATGATTTACAGCCTAGGGCAGAAAAATCCTTGAACAAAGAAGTTTATTAACTGCGAAAAGCACAAGGCCTGGTAATTCTTTGTTGGTGTAGGTTTGCCTTGTGTAATATGGGTGTGGTTTTGAGGGAAGCCCAGATGGTAGGGAGCCTTGGCCAGATTGCTGTGCGGATTTTTTTTTCTTTTTTCTTTTTTTGTGATCATCTTGGGGCTTGAACACAGGGCCTAGGCACTGTTCCTAAGCTTTTTTGCTCAAGGCTAGCACTTTACCTCTTGAGTCACAGCTCCATGTTTTTACTTTTTGGTGGTTAATTGGAAATAAGAGTCTATGGACTTCTTTGCTGTGCAGGCTGGCTTTGAACATGATCCTTAGATCTCAGCCTCCTGAGTAGCTATGATTATAGGCTACCTGTCTTTTTTGGGGGGTCAGTTGTGGGGCTTGAACTCAGGGCCTGGGGACTCTCCCTTGTGCTCTGTTTGTTTAAGGCTAGTGTGCTCTACCACCCATCTTTTATATTTTCTTGAAGATCAGAATATGGCTTTCTTGGGGCTGGGGATGTGGCTTAGTGGTAGAGTGCTGGTCTATCATGCACGAAGCCCTGGGTTCAATTCCTTAGTACCACATAAACAACAACAACAAAAGAAGCCAGAAGTGGCACTGTGGCTCAAGTGGTAGAGTGCTAGCCTTAAGCAAAAGAAGCTCAGAGACAGTGCCTAGGCCCTGATTTCAAGCCCCAGGACTAGCAAAAAAAGAATATGACTTTCTCATAACCATATTAATTTCCTGCAAACAAAAAATGTCCTTAGCAAATTGCTGCATGATCATATACTTATTATTTTGTCTTGAGCTTACTTTCAAAATTACTTTTAAACATTCTTTACAAGGACAGGTTGAATATTTCTCACATTTTTTCACCATTTTGTTCAGTTTTAGTCACAAATTCCATCTTTCCTGACAGAGCTGGCTTTAAACTTAGATCCTTATATCTCAGCCTCCTGAATATCTAGGATTACAGATGTGAGCCACTAGCACAAATTTATGCATGTTTACTGTGCACAACATGATATATGGAAATATGTATACATTATTGAATGACTAAATAGACCTAACTGGCTATATGACCAAAGGAAACAAAACGGATATGTTAAGTTGATAGCTGCAGTCCCATCGTCATTGCAGAAGTATTTACAATTGTTAATGTACGAAGTCAACCTAAATGTCTATCAACAGATGAATGGATGGAAAATGTGCTGTATACACAATGGAATACTATTCCACAATCAAAAGAAGGAAATCAGGGGAGTGTAGTTGTGGAGGAGGGAGGGAAGGGATGGTAGGGGAAAAACAAAGGAGGAGGTAACAATGCTTGATAGGAAATGTACTCATTACCTTTCTCATGTAACTGTAACCCCTCTGTACATATTTTTACAATAAAAATGTATTAAAAGTGAAAAAAGAAGGAAATCTTGCTGTTTGTAACAATATGCATCAACCTTGAAGGCCTCAGGTTAAGTTTAAATAAGCCAGGTACAGAAAGACAAATGCTGCATGGTCTCACTCATATGTGGAATCTAAAAACTGTTGAGTAGCATGGTGGTTCCCAGAGCTTGGACAATGAGCAAGTGGAGGTTAGAGTGATGTTCAAAAGATATAAAGAAGACTAAGTTTTAAAGATTTAAATTGCATGATCTGGCAACTATACTTAATGATGTATTTTTTTGGAAAGTTGTAGAAAGTAGACTTGAAGTGCTACCATACCGTCATATAAAATGGTGCATAGGTAAGCTGGACACTTGTGATTTATGCCTGTAATCCTTGCTACTCAAGAGGCTGATATCCAATGGCCATGGTTCAAAGTCAGCCCCAGCAGAAAAATCTATGAGACTCATCTCTAATTAATTAGCAAAAAGAAATAGAGCTGTGACTCAAGTGGTAGAACACCAACCTTGAGTGGAAAAAGCCAAGTGAGAGCACAGGGCCCCAAGTACAAGCCATACTACTGGCACAAAACAAGAAATGACAGGTAAGATGACACATATGACTGTGTGATTTAATTCTTACAATGATCCTACCTCTGAGAAGTAAAAGAAACTACCTTGGGTCATATAGTTAGTAAGTGCCA